TCTAGTCGATCGACCGACATATGTATCGGTCGACTAATCAGGGTTTGTTGTTTGTGCATATTTGTGCATGTCGCCTCCCAGTCGATCGATGAGATATCAGTCGACTGACCTGGTGCTGTATTGTAAATGTTAATCTTCCACGTACGTTTGTCACAAACACGAAGTGCGAGTTGCACGTCGATACACGTGCGTGACCATGAGAGTGCACATATTTGGTTTGAGCTTGCTGTTTGGTTCAAAAGTTGCAGTTTTCATTGCTATCGAATCTATTACAACTTTGATCGTTACAATAAACTCGAATAAAATAAAAAGTCGATCTTTTTATAAGATCTCCTTACACAATAAAAATAAAAAGTTTATAACTTTATCAAACAAACGCAGAGAGATCGTTTATCGATTTTCTGCTTGTGCGGGATCTTTGCCTGTGCCGGGGACGTCGATATCCGTGGACCGCTTACGGATCAGATCCGGTTAAAAGAAAATTGACAGAGCTCCTACTTCACCAAGGAAGTATTCACTTGAAGCTCTAAAATCAACCAAGCAATATCAGTAGCTCTTCTCAAGATAAAGACAAAGCCTAATCTCAAGGAACGAACGGACGAGGCTTTAGATCTCTCGAACTCTCCCTCTTTATGCTGAAGAACTTCATTAAGATCAGTTAGCCTCCTCTGAAATTCGTGCTCCTTTGACCCCTCAATCCGACAGCAACTCCTCGTCTTCATAATAATTCCGCCCCTGTGAATTGAGCCCCTAGGCCTGTATTTATAGGCTTCGGTTGGGGGGTTTCGGATAAGAATTATGGATTTGGCCATATCTTCAGTCAATAATGGCCTAACCATGTTTGTGGATGATATAGAGTCAGTTGGGAACCCTTGGAATAGATAAATCCCTAGAAAACCGCTCAAAACTGTCAAAAATGCGTTCGGGGATCGAAACAACGCGACGGGTGAATCCGACCCATGGGGGGCGCGGGTCGGATGCATCTGACCCGCACCGTGTCGGATTCATCTGACCCATGAGGGCGCGGGTCGATTAAGTCTGACTCGCGCGGGTGCGGGTCGGATTCGTCCGACCCACGCGGGCACGGGAAGTTTGGCTTTTCGCTAAACTTTTTGATGTTTTTCTGACTTTTTCAGGACTTGTATTTT